AGCTCACTCGTAAAGAGAGACGGTTACAGGCCGCTATAATAAGGTGGCGCGTGTTAATACACGCGGATAGTCCGCGCGACGGCCTGTAAAGATTCTTCCGCCATCGAACGACGCGGCACTTTTTCCGCGGCCCCCTTTTCGCTTCCACGCTATTCCACAGTCATCGCCGGCAAAAGGTGATTCGGCTCGCGACTACGTTCGCGCATCGTGCCTCTTAACTGCCGCGCTATTACGTCCCCCTAATTGCCAACCATTTAAATACCACCGCCGCAAATTAGATCCTCTTGTGATAAGCAGGCCCGTTTACTTTATGAAACCGCTGAATGCATACGGAGAAGCACGCATACCTTAAGAAGTGTTGAACGCGATCTCAGATTGATAAATATAGTTCAGACTTTTCATGCGAGCCACAATTACGAAATAATTAAACGATGTTTAGAAATTCCTTTTTTTATCAAATCAATTTCTCTCCAGTCGCGAAAGCTCTGAAGAGAAAAAGAAAAAATAGTGAATTTCGTCGTCGGCAATTCATTTACGTTGTAACTCGCGAGGCCACGGCGGACAGGGAGGTTTCGCAAACCGTGCGCGTCGACGATACGATTGCAATGGGTTTTACGGTGCAGGTAAGTAACGTCGAAAGTCTCCAGCGTTCCAGTACTTTGCGTAACCGTGGCCGGCTGTTGGCGGCGGAATCGTTACGGATTTGCGACGAACGTGTGTACCTGAACGGAACGGAACGAAAGGAGAGGCCAGCCGATTCTCACCGAGCGAACCACGGATAAAGTACGGCCACGTGACAGTTCCTATCCGATGGACTACCGGCTGCGCGAGAGTCGATATATATTCAGCCAACCGGACACTCCCAGTTCGGGGCCAATAAAGCAGAGAACTCGGTTGAAGAAGAAGAAGAAGAAGTGGGAAAAAAGGAACGATCGTCGAACCGGTCGACTAATCTGTCGATCGTGACGGGAAACGCTAATCGACTCGCGTCGCGAAATCGCGACCACTCGGCGACTCTGTGAAAATGGAAATCCCGGCCGTTTCCCTGTGACTACCACGACGGCTCTTAAGAGTTGGTCCCGTGCCCATTGTTGCCTCCCCTTCTGCGACCCGTGCGACGAGGAGCGCTCTCGAATGCGTGAATGCAATTGCATAAAACGCGTTCTGGTAATCTACTTCTCTCTCCGTGATGTAACACACCGATGGGCAAGAGTAGACTAAGCGGGCTTCGACTTGGATCCGATTCCATGTACTTCAGATTTTTGCGAAACGAGACGTTGTGCGCCGCATTGTTGCATAAGATCGCTCGCATAATGGGATCGGCTCGATCGGTTCCACCGGTGGTTATGAATGGGAAATTTGATCTAAGAACGCTTGCGCGATAAATCTTCCGCTTATTGAAAATGCAAAAGCTGCGAATATATTCAATTACGCGATGTTTGATTTATGACACGTGCGCGTTGTTTTAACATCCACGTTTTTCTGTACGTGCGAAGGTACTCCTACTAACCAATACCGATTTCGAGATTCAAATAAATCAGAGATTACGCCACGAAGGAAATCGGAATGCTAACTTACTGAACCCGATGCATCCTTTCGACGAGTCCGACCGACGCGACCTACTCGCCGTTGTTTTTTCGCAACGAATAATGCGCTCCTTGCTTGTCGCGCTCGACGGTCCGGAAAACTGGCTAAGTGGCTTCTCAGGTACTTCCAGCGGAAGCGGGTGAATTCCAGGGCATGCAACTCATGAACCGTCCCGGATCGCCCCGGTGTCGTCAGGAAAACCGATGTCGCCACGAAATCGGCTCCGCGTCCTCGATCCGTCGTTCGCTTCATTGTCGCGCGATGAATAACGACCGAGAGAGCCCCGAAACGTGAATCACGGGACCGCGTTCCGTCCAGGCTTTAACGGGGCGGCGAAAAATTTGTCGCGCGATGTCGGTCGCACGCATAATCGCCCGCTCGGAAAACAATGGCCCTCGACGGGCCAATTTGCATCAGGACGCGTCGCGAATCCTTGAATTTCTCCTCCCCCTTCCGGCCGAGATACACGCTAACGAGTACGAATTGGTGCAACCGGGTGGTTGAAAGCCGAGTCATGCGCGTTATTATTCATACGCAAGAATGAACTTCTGTTTTTCCTTTGCCTTCGCTCGATGCGAAATCATTCTGGAATACGATCGCAAATGATATTGGTAATAATCATCTGAATCTGCTATAAATGGGTGAAACAGTGTAGGATTTAATGGGCAGCCTGACTCCTTTCCTTGTCCTAAATTTTCAACTGTTTCACATTTACCCTTACTGTTGTAAGAAATGTTTGATAAAATTGATCGTGAGATCGTCCTCAGTGATACCACGAAAAGCTCGCGATCATGTATCTTCAAAAGGGCTTTTTATTTGAATGTTTGAAAATTATTTTGACAGCACCCATGGCTTATCTCAAAAAATTACCCAATTATTAGACGTGGAGTTACTGATGAATAACGCAATAAAGTCGACGCGACTGAAGACTGGATCGTACATCGTGTTTCACAGTTATCCGGGGAACGCGACAGTGTCACCAAAAATGGAAGAAGTCGGAGCAGAAAAGGGGAACGGAGGAGAGGTAGTCTCCTCTCCGTTGTGGCGGCGAGAATTCGAGGCAGTCGTTAGTATGCTAATGAGTGTCCCTCGCTTCTCCCGGTTCGCTCTGGTATAATGCGCGGCCCGGTAAATTATTTCAAATATTTCCCGAACTTCTCGCTTCCCCTTCCTCGAGATTCAACTTTACTCAAGGTTCGAACTCCGTGAGAATGGTGAGCGTCGTCGTCCGAGCAGAGACACACCGTGTTGAAACGTGGTATAAGTAAAAACGTGGAGATAGATCGCGAGCGATTTGTCGACGCTCGCGCGGACAATGTCAAAGTTGACCCTCATTTTTTCTCCTTTCACCGGCTCGTAAATGGAAAAGGCAGAATTCTTTGTGGACGCGAGAACCTGTAACCGTTTGTTCACGTTCCCGCAACAGAAGTTTCGTTAAACGTTTTCGACTACGTAGAGCCAGAGAACAGATCGTAGCTTATACGATTATCAAGTGCATTTTCATAAGAAACGATCGATTATTATAATTAAATTCTTCTAGAATTCCCTATAAACACTTGTAAGCATAGATAATTCTACAGAGTCTGTTCAACCGGTTTCGCATCGGCCCCGAATCTAACCGTTTCTAATCGTCCCTAACGGGTCTCAAAGATCCTCCCCTCGACGACCGGATACGTTCAGACGTAGAGATATGGCATCGGTAGAGAGGAGACTGTTAAACCGGGGACTGCGCTTTCATCGCGATGTCCTTCGACGTGGCTGCCGCGGCGGCAGCGATCGATAAGGGCCGCAAATAATATTCAATCGACGGAATCCGCGGCGCACGTGCTCGAGCGCGCGGGAACGCGCGTACGAGTCGAGCGAACGACAGGACAGGGCCCCGAGAGAGGCTCTCTCGTTAAGCCGCGTTCTCTGCCCGAAGGGTGTTGACCCTTGCTCTTCTCTTCCCTCGTCTCTCGTTCTCTCCCTCCCACTTCCCGTGGCCGACGTCCCACTAATGTGGTGCACCGTGGAATATCGGTACCGCATACTAAGTGACCCATCCGATAGTAATTGGACCTCATTAAGGCGACCACGGGGCCACGGCTGTCTCTGTTTTCTGCCGCGTGCGTTCGGTTTCCCGGAGACCGAGCCAACAGATAACGCGTTTTAGGTAAATTAGACTCGCTCTTTCTCCTTACGTTCCCTCTTTGTGGAAGATGCTCCCTAGGATCGAGCGAACCGGTGAAAATACGGGTCTACACGTGATACAGATTTATGTGTGGATGCCTATCGATACCTTTTGAAAGCCTCCTCATCCGCTATCGGCCTTCTCTCCTCGGCTCTGACCTGTTACATCGATCCCCCACCTTTACAGTTTTCTCGCCCTCGTTCTTTCGTGAATGCCTCTAAGATAAGCTGCCGTGTTCTCATTTGCTAGAACAGGTTGTGCCTTTAATATTTTCAGGCATAATGGTCGCGTTTATTACGTTGTTTTCTAATTTAGCTTGAAAATAGAAAGAATGGCTAAAGGACAATTCTGAGTTCTCAATTGATAATCTTCTTATCAGAAAGCAAATCTAAATTACGAATGCATTTTTTTTTTATTGTACACATGCATATTATGAGATGATCGAAAATAAGAGGAACTGAAAGGAAAGTGAAGCGATCTATTATTAACCGCGTGGCACTGTAGAAAAACTTCTCCATGTGTCACGATTTCCAAGACAATCGCGTTGCCCACGAAACCGTCCCCGAAGGAGGACGATCTGAGATAATCGATTGGTCGCGCTCGATTCTCCCGTCCACTTACGGATTCGAGCCGCGCCAGCGTTTTTCGCCAGTCCATCGGGAATGGGACTTTCTCACCTTCCACGTCGATAACACCGCGAGTCGTACGTGCCCGTTGTTCCCGTGTCGCAATTCGACACGGCTTATTAAGCATCCAGCCTTTTTAAATCGGAGTGAACGCGATGAGCCGCGACCACCGACACCAAGCGAGCGTAACCGCTGTCGCATCGAGTTCTCGCCCAGTGATTTCAGCGAGTAAGTGAAGAGAACGCGAATTTCATCCGCGATTCAATGAAACGCTGATGCATCCTCGATTAAATTTCATATCTCTTTAGATGGATATTTCAGATCTTAGATCGATTTTAAAAATCGAGTGACCGAGGACTGAACTAAATGGGTCGTTCGGAAAGTTTTTGCGGGGTTTTGGTACGTGGAATTGCAACAGGTCTAGAGTATATCAGAGTGATCGAAAATGAATAACACGTGTATATATTTAAAAGGTGCTTTTTAGGCGACTATAAATAATGTTAGGAAAGTCACGTGACTACCCGAATCCCTTAAGTGCAAGCGGCGAGACTTTCTTAATCTCAGAGTTCCTGAATAGCATGGCGAGCGTGTAAGCGATAATTAAATGAATCTCTTACCTTGCAACCCTCGCACGTGAACGCTCCGAAATGAAAACCGGCCGCCGGCTCGCCACAGACCTTGCACTGCTGGTTCATCTGCAATTATAGAAATTATGTTAGAAGGAGGACTGTAGACAGTGCGTCATTCGGTCTCGCATCCTTGGCGATATAAAATGCATTGGGAGGAAGAAGAAGAAGAGACGGAGGGAGGGCTGATGCGACGAACCGGTTCTCTGCGTTCGCTTCGATTTTTATTCCTCCCACAATATCTTACACGGACGTTCGAACGCTATTTGGATTACTAGGGAAAGTGGCGGCGGAGCTTGAAAAATGATCCTAAACGAGTTTTCCTTTTCTCATCGCCCCTGACACGGTTTAATGGTCGCAAAGCGTTGACAATTTTTCTCGTTCCCTCGGCTCACGCCGTAGGAATAGAATTGTAGAGTGCACATAAATCAGCGCTATCTCGATAGAAGCCTATTGGCCATCTGTTGGTGGGTCGGAGCCAGGTCGACGGTCGCGTTCCTCGGTCAAAACTAGAATAAAATTAGACCATCGACGACGGACCGATAAGGGAATCTTAGCCAGAAGGGACCTCGAGCGCACCTGGCTTCCTCGAGCGTCGCGCACCGCGTCTATCTTCGGCCCAAGAATGGCCGGTTCAAATCATTCGCGACCGTCCTTGCGCAGCTGAGCCAAGAGATTTCTAATATGTCACTCAAAAAGGACGCTTAATTACATAATTGTGTGGCTGGCTTCTTAAAAATTCCAAGTGAGACGTCAGGATTTCCACATTTAGAGAAAAGTCTACTCTGATTGGTAGATCGTGGTGTCCCTACTGAAAAAATGACCATGTTCGGTCGCGGGAACGCGACTGCTTTGAAATTATCGTTCCTTTTACAACAAAAACGATTTATAATCTGGTCGCGTTGATTCGCAACGAATGTTAATGAGCGTGGTGGCGCTTGGAGCGTTCGAACAGCAAAAAGCACGGACGATCCCATCGGAGGGTAGTAATTTCCGGAAGAACGCGTCGTTTTTGCGGACCGGCCTAGCTCTTAACGAGAATTCAAAGTGACTGTAATTAGAGAAGAGCCGCGACACGAGCGCTGCTTCTAATCGTTCCGCGATTGTTCTCCTAAAGGAAGGCGACTGGCGCCCGCGAACGGTAGCCTCTGGGTTTTAAACGACGAACAGGGAAGACGGAGAAACGTAGCCAGAGTAGAGAGACACCGAGAGAGAGAGAGAGAGAGAGAGAGAGAGAGAGAGAGAGAGAGAGAGATAACAAGAAGAGTCGACTCGCAGGTTCGTTAAGGTTTCCAAGTTTTTTCCTGACGCAGTTGCTTGACGCCCGCTCTTTCTTTCATTCCGCGTACTGATGAGCCGGGACCATCTCCTCTTTTCCTCATCCTCCACTGAGGAACGTCTCTCTAAGTGTCTCTCTTTTTTATCGTTTTCCTTGTACGTTTCTCTACTCGTGCCACGACAGTGACCTACTCGCTCCGCATATAAAAATGCCTACGAGACGATTCGGAATGAAATTATATAATTGAAGCAAGACATTTCATGATACAAGATCCGGCTGATTAAGTGGTTCTAATATACTATTCAGCAAAGATCGCGGAGTCGTCAGACAAATGTTAAAACATTTATCTTCATCAGCTCTATCAAAAGGTTCGCCTTTATCAATTTTGCAATTGGCTCGAGGGATATTTAAATCTTCTAACTAGCCCGGGTAATGTGTATAATCGAAACGCAATTGCTTCGTGTCCAAAAACACCGTGGCATTTTCCTCGACGAAATCGAAATACAGCGCGCGGCCATAATTTCATTCGAAGGCGGCCAGAAACGGCTGGCGAGCAGAACGCGTGAGAATGCTCGGTGGTGGCTTTCTTCGGGAGGTCTCTTTTCCCTCGGTGAAGGAGGAAAAGGAGGTAAACAAGGAGGAGGAGGAGGAAAGGTTAAGCGGCGAGGCAAAAACGGGGCGCGGAGCTAATATCAGGACGTGTTGTTTCCATCGATGCGCAACCGCGGCAAGTGGAATATCGGAGCCAGGCGGCGCGGCGGCGTACGCGCACGCAGACACCGACGTTGATTAACAGTGGTCTCGCGATTAACAGTAAATCACAGAGCGCATCGATTCAGCCTTCCTCGGTAGAACCGTATCCGTAGCCTGTAACCGACCCGGTGACTATAACTAGCGAACGGTACCATTTAAGTAGCCGAGCCTATTGATTTTACAAAGGATCTGGACGAGCGCGTGCACGTACCCGATATCTCGATTCTATCCCACGATTCGGGCCAAGGCTTGCGTTCCACTTTTACCGCGATTCATCTATGTCCTATGCTCCAAATTATCTCGACAATTTCACCAGAATTATGGTTCGTCTAATTTTTCGCAGCCCCCGAGTTCTCAAGGATATTTACAGATATTTCATTTAAACTGTGAACAACAACTAGAGGATTTTATGCATTTATCTATCTATATATTTATAAATATATCTAAATCGACACCTATATACATGCCTACAAACATTATCCGTTGTTTTAGAAGAAACTAAAATTCTGGAACTGATAAAGTCCTCAGAATCCGAAATATGATTGAGACTCGCAGGTTTCTGAACGACCCGTTATAACAGTCAGGTTAATATTTATGTGTATACTAATGCACACGTCAGGATTATTCGTGAAAACGATCGACCCACCTACCGCGAAATTTCTTCCCATGCGAAGCATTCCGGTTCCCGGAGAGCTCGGAGCTGTTTCGAGACCGGGACACGCTTATCACCGGCACGAAGCATCAGATAATGCGGTGACTACCAGCCAGGAAGCGTTCCCGCGGGTTGGTATGCAAAAATTCTCTAGAAAGGAGCAACGAGACCGTGAACCGACCATAATCTTGGCCATCGACGTTTCATATCGGTCCCACTGGATGTCACAAAGCAAACACGTTCGCTTCTGCAGTCTTCACTTCAATAACCTCCGGGTAAAAATTTGTGTATGCACGTAAGATTACGTAAACAAAAAGAATTTTGAAAATTCTTGCTCACGATAGATCAGAGCTAAAATATTTATAACAGCTCTACATATGTATTACGTATAATTTCATACGAAGAAGTTATATGGACTATTTGAAGAAACTCAATGAACAATTTTAATTCTCTAAAGAAATAGGATACGATTCTACCGTCGATTCTATTTGATTTAATAAGTATGATCTAACTTGTTGCACAAAGAGGAAAGTGACTTGGAGACGGAGTAGCGACACGTGCAGCTCGTACCCCAGTTTCGACGAGGAGAGTCAATATTTGCTTGGTACTCGTCCATTAATGAAGTCGATCGACCTGCTCCAAATATCAGCTTACGGTCTGGTCTCCGGACTCGTGCGAGAGAACGTCAACGACCACGGGAAGAAGGGAGGACGCGGCGGATGGGGTCAGGGAAAACAGGAGAACCCCTCCTTGTCGTCGTTCGACTCCTGTCCTGTTTCGTAACCACGCAGGTCCAGGGGCGAGTCGAACGTTCACGCGCCATTAAACTCGAGTCCCGTGTGACGTTTATCCCTTTTATGATAGTTTTTTCACCCGGTGATCCCATCGCCGACTTCTGGCTTCTGCCATTGTCCCTTTATCCTCAGGCGACAACCCTTTCCCTTCGAACGACTTCTCGTCTACTTTTTCTTCACCAAGGGATGAGACCGATGATGTGACGGTAAACGGAAAGACTTTTGATGATTTTATATTTGATATTGGCGTGATATTCTACAGTTGGTATTGTTAGCAAGTATCAATGATAATCGAACACCTAATTAATATTCTATAAATCCTTTGATCGACGCTTCTATTCGAGAACCATTCCAAGAATTACAGAGACCGTTTATAATGGCGCGTTTCGATCGTCGGTCTATTTCCTCGAAATAAATCTGGCCGGCGTATAATAGAGGCACGACAAAAATCTAGGAACGAAAAGCGTGCAGGGGATAATGGTCCAATTAAGCGTTTCGAATAATTTCACGTCGATAATAGCTCCTCCGGCGCGTTTCCTGGTCGCGCGATTGCACGCAGGCTCGGTTGACAGGGGAATTGTTACAATTCCAAGGGGGTTTTAGACGGCCCCACGGGAGAAAGTGCTGCGCGCGGCGAAACTTAATTAATTGGCGGGTATATTAATTCGCGAATTTACAGCCGCGTTAAGAATGACCGCTTGATTACCGGCCGCCGTTTGATATACGGCCGGTAATTTTTCTCGCTAACTTAATGAGTTAATGAGTCCGCGCGAAAGAACGAGTCGATATATCACCGTGCCGTGGCATATGTACTCGGCGTGGGTACCTACTAAGCGGCGTCAAGGGAATTTCTTCGCGCCACGAAAGTCTCACCGGGTGCTCGCGATCTTATCGCCAGCCGCGACGCGTGGATCACGCGGCTCGGTTTAAAATATAACGCCGATTACGCCCGTTTATCGTCAATTACGTGCGACCGGACGAGTCGCTCGCTGTTATTCCGAGCTAACTCGAGATTTGAACAAGATCGTTTAGTGCGCTCTATTTAGATTACGTTATCGTGCCAGATGGATGTTTCACACGCGAATACGAATTCCTGTTAACCGGCTTCGATTCATATAATACGTATACAAATACGTAAAGATTACGTTTTCTGAAAGCGGATTCTCGGATCACAAAGAACCTCGGGAAGAGAAGATTTGACAAGATCGTAAAGAAGAAACGAGCTGGCCGCTATTACTTGCGAATTCTTTCGTGATTTATCTTCCTCGGACGAGACGACGCGAGACGTCACCGCGGGCAGCCTTTGAACTCGTACGAGGTTCACTGGGAAAAATAGTCTCGGAAAGGGAAACTAGAGTGGCTGTCGAAGAATGCTGCTGGGGCACAGGTCGCGCAATTTGTATCGGCCTGGATGCGTTTTTAACGATCGGTTTGATGGATGATGGCCGCGCCTCGACTGGCACGTCGATCGGAGTCCTTGAAAAATGATGCTCCAGATCGTTGTATACACGTTTCAGACCTCAGACACTCGAATCCGCGCCGCGTCACGCACACACCCGTGTGCACGTGTACGCACGCACGGTTACACGGCATATGGCAAGGGAGGACGACGGCAGCTTCTTTTCGGTTAATATGTTTTCGCGATCCACAAAGCGCCCGGTCGGGAGTCAAAGACAATTAATAATCTCCCGTAGGATCATTTATCGCGACAGTTTAGCCCCACGAAGTCAAACCCCGCTGTATCTCCTCCGTCGAGGAGGACTGCGTCGAGTTTGGCAGTATTGTTCGTCTCCTCGGGCCGTGACCGATCCAATTTTTAACACCGTCTATCCTTCGCTCGATTTTCCTCAGCCACTCGAAGTTAATCGACGGAGACCAACCCTTTGCCCGCGTATGGGAATCCTGTTCCGGCCGCGCTCAACGTGGAATTCGTTATGGTGCAGAATGAGAAGGGCCCATGAATCGTGAACAATCCTTATGTTAATGCGAATCAACGTTTCCGGTCGCGTCGATACAAGGAAACGCAAATGATCGCCGACGATTCGAAGAAAAAAAAAAAGCAGAAGACGCCTAAGGAGGAACTTACAGTCGTCTCGCTAATAAGAAGAGCAAAGTCGAAACGAGAACGGATGACCGTGGTGAGGGAACATGGAACGCGCGAGTTTCTTCGGTTCATGTCACGACGATTGACGTGCGTAACAAGAATAAAACCGAATCGACATCCACTGTAAAAGTGTACTCCTTACTCATATTGAAAAAAAGAGCAGGGAACAATAATTTTTGCATATCGAATGAAACAGTTGGAGGTCAGGAACGAAAATTCTTGTCAATTTCGCGTACTGACAAATCACGATGGAATGAACGTCCCCTCGTAAAATTCGTTATAATCGCACGGTCTCACTGATTTACGCGCGTCGATTTCGAGAATAGATTTTACGCGCGCGCATTTCTCGCCGCCGCGTCCGGAACGCAGCAGCGCCGTCGCGGGCCTCCGCAGTATAATCCCCCTTTATTCGACGATTAAGCGCGCGCAGCTTGATTTATAGTATCGTAAACGTTAACGACCGCGGGGATATCGCGGCGGAATTGTCTCGGAAGCCCAGCGCAACAGTGCTGAGAAAACCGATTGAAAAGAAGCGACGTTTAAAACGGCGTTTCTAATAACGCGCGCATGTATTACAGAGTGAGCGTTCACGTTTCTTTTCGCATGAAAACTGTACCAATTTTCTGTGCTCTGAGACCGGCGAATGACCAAGTGTTTCACGTCGACGGGAAAAAGGATAAAAAAACCCGGGAACACGCATTCTTGGCCACTTTCTAAGCGACTGACCGGGCCGACGTCGAACACGCGCGCGATAAAACCGAGCGTTTCCCCTGGTTGAAAATGCAAATCGAAGGAAGCGGCCAGGAGTGTGGTTCCCTGTAATTCGCGAATTATCGCCCGCGCCGACGGAGTGCATCGATACAGATTAGAAAAGTAACGGTCCGGTCTCGCCGAATGGAGAGCCACTCTGTGTACCGTTAAATGCATGTTTCAGGGGACCTGCCGTCGAGATAAAGACTGAACGAAAGACGTATCACCTACCCGAGCCAACTTTTCCCCTCAATTCTTCGATGCGCATTGCAACAAACGAATGGACGTGACTAGATTCAAATAATTTAGATTTGGGAGATTGTTACTGTAAGATTGGTGCCAGGTATAGCAAAAACGAAACGGACTGTGAGCATCCGTGCAAAGTTTTACGATTTCGATCCAGGAAGGGTGAACGCGAAAAGGCGTTAAGTCAGTTGGGATAAGGGTTCGATGCAAATGAGGATTGAGATTCTTAGGCGGCTTACGCGATCGTGACCAAGGGATCCGAGCCGTTAATTGTCGGAAAAAACGTTGGAAACGAAACAACCACATTACCTACAGACATCTACGAAAGCTTAGTGCTACTATCTGGATTCACGCTTTCTCTGATGAGACGGACGTTCTCAAAGTTCGCCAGCTGTATATCAGCTCTTTTCGTCAATTTTCTTCTAAAACTAATTCCAATACGTAATCCGCGAACCTATTACTGAAAACGGGTGCACAGTTGGCAGAATTGTTTTAATAAAGATGCGTAGAACTTCATATGGTAGCAAAATTGTAGTTACAAAGCCTCTCCAGGGTTCTCCCGTAGTACAAGTGGGTAATAACCGTATGAAAGGGTAACAATGGTGGCTGACACACCGCAACCGGGTTAAAAAAGCTGGAGGGCAAAAGGCAACGCGAGTGGAGGGGGGCAATAAATATATTTTGACACGGGAGACCCTCGTCGGGCATCTATGCATAATAATTGTAACGCTCTACTCGTCCCGTTCCTCTCCTTTCTCCTCTTCCGCTGCACACGTGCGTCCGTACGCTTCCGCACGCACTTCTGCTCGCCTTTTATTCCACAACGTGTCCGGACCTTCTGCGGGCCCGAATTACGCTACTGTCTACCAGTAGGCAAATATTATAGCAACAAGCGACAGCGAGGGGTGACGATAATGTTTTCATTTACGACTAACCCCGTCCGACCGCATCGTTTCGATGTCTGACGAGAGGGTTTCGCGATTCCAGAAAGGATGGGAGGAATTGCAATAAGAAATCCAGAAAGTTATAGTTGGATAGGGTAGAAAAGAATATTTTAAGAAATAAAAGCGTATTCCTTAAGAAATTCAGAAGAATTGCATGAGAAATGATTGTACGATTCTAGATCGATGGGAATTTCTACTAATATGATTACAGAAAGTGATTAAAGTGAATACGATAAATAAACATGGATTAGACACATGGACGAACGACCGGGCCATTATTCTTGTTGAGCGCGATAACAGCGAACACATCGAAGCGTGCGGTCTCACGGTTTCGCAATTATATTCCAATCAAAATTTCTTAGTGGTAGGGGTATTTTTAACGGTCCGAACGTACTTAGACCGCTATTAGGTTGCATTATCAATTTCACGCCGTGGTATAATCGCGAGCAACGCCGAGCCACTTTGGATGTAGACTTTAATTTACGAGGAATAAATGGAGCGGTGAATGGACTGTAAGATTGACGAAACGCCAGTGATTACCGGCTGAACGCGAGTGATTTATTTTCCAGTTTTTATAACTATGATTAGTCGCTCTTTTTTTTTTTTCATGTCCCTTCTCTTGTGTCTTCGTGACTATAGCTTCTCGCCACAAGATTATTTCGAGTTTTAATATACATGCTTCTGTCCTCATAGATAAATATTTTACAATGACTTACCGGTATGGGTTGAATAAATTTGTCTGAAATAAAAGATAGAACAGGTTCTGTGATTGCAAATGAGCATGCAGAGTCAACAATGAAATCAAAGTTAACAGCCTTTATGAGTCGACAGAGCTTAAACTGTCAGAGACATGAACGCATGTATAGGGAATGCACATACGATTAACGCGCGCAACGAGTAGAATGAATCGAACTCACCTTCGCAGTGAGACAATACCGACACGAGCGGGCCAACCGGTGTTTGTAACAACAACTCAACTTGAAGATCTGCTTGCCGCTGAGTTCTTTGTCACACGTTACACTCCATAATTTTCGTCTGCGATTGCCGGGTAAATATAAACTCCTGCGACGATCGTTCAATCTCGAACGGCACACACTAAATGTAGAAGAAGTGTCCCAGTCCGGACGATGCAGTCACGTGGCGCGTGGTAACACGGTGCACTTAGTGAACGCGTTTGACAGTCACGAATGGTCCCCACACCTCGGTCGGCGTCACGCGATGGATCTCATCCCTTCCGTAGAACTCACGGCACGACTTTGTCTTTATCGGATCCCTCGATGCAGGTCCGTCGACTGGACCGGAGCACTCGATTCTGGCTGATCCACGCGGGTCCGAGCGTGGGTACCACTCTCTCTCCTCTTTCAACTCGTTCCTCTCTCTTTCTGTCCCCCTTGACCGTCCTCGATCCGACGACGTTTTCTTCTTATTTACACGTTTCCCAGCGTGCGTCTGTCTGTCTCTCTCGGACAACCGCGAGTCACGGTGCGGTCACGTCGATGGACGGGAAACAACTGGCGCTTCGCGATCGGTGCGACTTGTTCGACTGCATTGAACGCGCCTAAGGAGAGCCCCGGCGCTTGCAGTGTCGAGAACCAATTTTCCCCCGATGCACGAAGACTACCTGTACCTGCCCATGTGTACGCCTGTTCACCCAGCGGCCAATAGGCCCCGACGGACCCCGTTCTCTCAACCAATCCAGAGAGCCTCGGTCCCTGGAGACCGGTTAATCCAGGAACCACCCATCGATTCCCCACTTCCTGCGATCGTCTGCTCCTCCACTCTCTGCTTCGGGGTTCGTCGTGTTTCCGTACCGGTATCGGCTACGCTCAGCAGAGAGCAGAGAAGAACCGATCGCAGCTCGCTGGAGCAATCTGGTCTCGATTGATCCGAGAACCTCCGTTTATAAAATATATACTATAACGAAACATAGAAACCAGATCTTTCGCTCGCCTGGCGGTTGACCGCCGAGCTGTCCGAACGACCAGCCATTCTAATTCTCATGAACACCGAGACATCAGAATGTCTAGGATATTTAATATTTACCGTAAAATTGACGATTTATCGTGGCTGGAAGGTCGTGTGAAAACATTTGCGTCTTATAATTTTTGATCATATTCAGAATAATGAAAAGAGAACATTCGTTTCAATTTCACCTGCGATGCATAATTCCAGGTATTTGTGCGTTATAAGTATCCTTTCTAAATTTTCAACCATTTTTGTTACCGTGCCTAAAACAAGCGTATCCTTCTCTGAAGATCCTGGAACCTCGCGCTCTCTCGACTCCTCTCTTTCTCTCTTTCTGTGTTTCTGTACACAGTGCCGAGGCTCACCCATATAATTTAGTCGCTGGCCTGCAAGACGTAAGCGACCGTAATCATAGCTATTACCCGCTCGCTGCTTCAATTAACGTACAGATTCGATAAACACGGCACGAGAGGACGAGTCGGCGGCGCGGACGGAGGCGCAGAATCGTTGATCTTGTCGCTTCCACCCGGTGGCTGGGAACGAGTCAACCTTGCGAAATCGCCGGACAATTAGATCAGCTTCTAATCAGGAAAGAGAAAAAGAGAAAAAACAGGGGCGAGATGGAACGCGTACAGGTGGACCTCGTTCTCGCGAACATGCGTATCCTACGTCTATTATACCGATCGTTCGAATTTTTTCGAGAACGGCTTTAGTCGGAATCCCACGAGTCACAGAAACTGGTCGACCCAATAAAATGTCGAAAGGCGTTCAAAGGGGAGAGAGTAGGAGGGCAGGAAGGACGGGGGTTGGACGGCGCCATAAATTAAACAAGATGTCCACCCGTAGAAATTAAACCATAGAAACTGGTTTCCGAACGTAAAACGCTTCTCCTCCGTTGCTGCTCTCGATCTTTCCTGCCGCGTCTTTTTTCCACTCTCTCCGCCGGCTCATCCTCGCCTCTCTTTTCGCTCGCGTCGACCCCTCTACCCGCGCCTTGACCCTATGAATCCTACGGAGGAGGCCACCGCTTTTTGTGCTCGTGCCTCTTCTCTCTTCGCCCAGGGATCGCGTTTTCTCGCTTCCTCGTTTAACGACCGATTTCATTTTATCGAGATAATACCGGGAGAGAGAAGCGGCCACAAATCTGGGAAAGTGCGCTACGCTGCTGCTCCTCGAACTCGATCCTATGGTCTTTTTTACGAGCCTGATAGCCTGGTGATGTAGGCTCCGATACAGTGCGGGAAACGATACCGTGAAACGTGTATTCGAACTCGGTAATCGTGCAATTGCAGCATCGAACTCCATCTGGTGACCCTGGATTTCTTTCGGAAGGTTCTACCATTTCACTTTTAAACCATTAAGTGTCGCAGTCTATGTCTACTATAATTGAACATTATTCCCTCTATACAAAATGAGTATTTTCAGCACCATTTTCGAGGAACCCTCATGAACTATAAAACTTTATAAGGGTCAGTATACCTGTGCCAGTCGAACCGAAAAAAGCTCATTACACCAGTTAGCTTTTTTCCGGTCGTCATTATCGTTCAATATCGTCTGTGGAATGGACACTACCGCACCAATATTTCCTTTGAACTGTTGTGGTTTCTGAAATGCCTCGGTGTGCCAGGTAAATACGTGATTCTGGTAAAATGTGCGAGCTAAGAGTTAATTAGGATCGCCGTTCATGAACCAAGTGAACCAAATACCAATTACTTGTGTATATATTATAATTTAATCCTGATCAAATATGTGATGGCTGCCAGTGATTTTCGAAAAATTATTTGATACTCGATTCAGTAAATTCCCAAAATTTTACTGATACAAAATCATCGTGCGTTGTTCGAAAACATAGAAGAGCGAGAATTTTATTGTAACGCATTTCGTTGCCATAAATAATTCAAGCTACTGTCGCCAGCGAACAGAGGAGCAAACACGAGGAGGCGCGGCGAACTGCGTCAGATTCGTGATCAATTGGCCGAAAATAATCCGGATGTATTTACGCTTTCGTCCGTCGCTCGTCGTTCCTCGACATTTTACACAAGCCGTTGTCTCGTCCCAGTATGCATGTCCGCTCATGCAGAAGCCCTTCCCCGAGGAGGCAGATGGGTCTAATATGAACTCGATTCCTGCCCTCCAAGACATGGACTCATTCCCTTTTTCCAGAAGGTGTCTGCTCATCGACACGGAAGGAAACGAGATTTATTATCCTCCTCGAGTACAGCGGTCACCTATCCTCGCGTGAAGTTTTTTTCGAGAACTGGGGTCGCCCTACATAGTGTCATCATTGTGACCTTTCTTCTAACACGTGAATTTTTTCGCTACGTAATGCATGCCAGTGAACTGTTACCCTTGATGAAAATATTATCACATTTCTCAAAGTGATTTTCATTCAGTTACTGAATATTGGCTATAGGAAACGTTTGATCCAATTCTATTATGATAAGAAGCAACAAAATTGATCATATATATACGCTAATGATACAATTGGATTAATACACGGATTTTTAGTCGCTTCAAAATTCCCCGAAATGAAACGAAACGAAATTCAGCTTTGATCGAGCTTCACGATCAATCTCCTCAGCGGAGCTATTACAATCCGTTGAAATTCAGGCTATCCGCGCAGCTGAATTATGACGTTCGACGACGAGACGCGATGCTCGAACAGGTATCGTCCGCGGTATTCCCGAGATTTCAGGAACGCGGCGACGATTAATTGAATTCCGCGAGCGCGCGCGCGCCGCTGAAAACTGGCACTCAATCTCATTAATCGAACGCGCGGCGTGGAATGTCGTTAGAGCGCGCGACGACGAATCCTCGTTCTCGCATGCACGCGCGCTTATGTGAAAACAGGCATCGCGACGTTTCGTCGTCGTCGTCGTCGTCGTCGTCGCGGTAATCGATTACCAGCGCCGGATTATTAAGTGTACGCGGTGTCCCAGCGAGGAAACCCGCGACCGAGGTCAAAGGGACGCGACTCCTCGCCGCGGAAACTCTGCGCGAGGATCTCGCGAATTGCGCTTGGTATCGCTTGTGCCAGCGTTCGAGTCTCCCGAGCGAGAGCGTTATTAATCGCGACTTTGACTAGGCGACACTGGTTTTAGCTCCGTTCAGGGGTACATTGGACAGCTACGTAGATATTTTTTGTATCCCGGTAGAAAATGAGAATTTGTAATTCTGTAAGTGTCCTCTTGGTTGTATTTTCAATGATATTTATAGATGAGATTGAATTCGTACTGACACAAGATAAAATTACATTTCTGTTATTAAACATACGATTAAGTGTTTTCAGAAGCTTGCACACGGACGCGTGTGAAGGTGCTTGATTAGAATCTATCCTCGCGGAGGACAGAACGGTTGATTTGAAGAAATCTTCATTACATTCTCGTTGTGGATATTGAATATAAAGTAACTGACACTCGTCGGAATTGCATTCCCTCGATTCGCGTATAATTAACAACAAACTAGCGTAATTACTAACAGGCTCATAGAATACACTTTCTAATTAATACATAAATCTCTTTAATAGAAATCAATTGACAAACATACTTGGACACCTTCGGTAAATAGAAATCTAATCATGTTTGATTGACATTCGGAGCAGCAAGAGAAATGAGTCGCTAATAGGAAACTCTTTTCGGAGAAGTAAAAATATCTGCAGCCGAAACAACGACGTCCTTGAAATAAGAATTAATGGGACGGAATGAAAAATGAGTGACAGGACGAGCTTGAACAGGGAATATCTCGGAAACGACCAATTGCATTGTGGGCAAACATCGTTTGGAGAGCGAACGAGCTGATCTCGAGCGACCATTCACGCAGGAAGACCATAAGGAAGATCAAGCGGTGAAGGATCTACCTAGGTCACGAGTCCGGTACGGTGGAAAAATGACCCACGCTGTTTGGACGATCGCTAACGACGTTTTGACCGGAATCCCCTCAAGAAGATCCACGCTACCACGAATCCTATTAGGACGACCTTTAGGTCGTTAAACCGTCTTTTTCGAACGATCTGCCAAAACGGTGAGCTGCTTCTAGTCGAGGCGATCCTCGAATCTTAACAAATCGCCGCGTAACGGATACCTTGGCTTACCGACTGCATCTGCGAGGCGACGCAGCCACGAGATTTCTCGTGTTTCCTTCGTTTCAAGCTTCCTCGGTAGGCAAATCTCTTCTGAATCTTATCCTGGTATAGTTTCTTTGCGGAGTATTCCAATAGGATTAAAGATTATTGGATTTGCTTATCGAACAAAGTAAGCGGGTAGATCCTCCAATATTTGCTAAATGAAACATTTGAAAGTTTACGAATTGAAAGGGCAATGAATAGAAATTGGGCTATTGAGATTTTCAAAAATTGCAAAATATGTACGAAGGAAATAAAATGTATCGAAGAAGAATTCCATGTTCAAAGCAGAAGAATAAAAAGTACGCTCACGATATCGAATTCGCGAAGCCACGATTTCCAGCTCGGATAGTAACTTGTGCCGGTATCAAACGTCGGGACGGTCGCGATCGCCTGAGACTTATCTGTCACCGGTCGCGTCCTCTCGTGAATAATTCTTGCGACCGCCAGGCCGACGT